TTCACGATTCTGCCTTGAATGTTTTTAAGTACAGCATTGGACAGGCCAAGGTCACGGTCAACATTTTCTTTCTTACATGCCTCATTGACCAGTCTATCAGCACGGTCATGATACCTAATTCCAACATGGGAAGGAATCCACACAAATTCGATACGAGATTTGTTCTTGTTGGCAGTTATCACATTTCTTTTAATATCACATGCAACTTTAGACATAGAGCCTGACGGGCTGTTCATTGATTTCAAAGCACTTTGAGAGTCTCAGAATATCACCCCACCTCCATTTTCTTTAAGTTAGTCTGCAGCTAAGTAGATTCCAGTTAGTTCAGTTTGAGTTGTGCTGGCCCAGTTGTTCAGCCTTTGCTTGTTTGACACTATCATCTCTTTTTCTTTGTATATTACAATTGTTCTATCTGTGTTTGTCTGCACAGAACCATCAGTAAAAGCATAACATTCACTTGATTTAATACTCTCTATGTGTCTGTTAATAGTTTCTAGTGTGACACATCTCATCACATCGGTGTTTAACATTTGCTTACTACCAACAGGAGTGTAATTAATAGGAACTGATAAATCCAGCCAAGGAGGAATGGCATTAATGGGTTCGTTTCCGGCGAGCAGAAATGGGATGACGAACCATTATAACAAATCGATATTTGTTACTATGTATTTATATTGTCAGCGTTTTTTGTTGTTGCATTTATTATTATTATTATTATTATTATTATTATTATTATTATTATTATTATTATTTGTCCCAAGCCGTCGCTGGCACTAACGTACTGGGCGCCCTCTTGTGTACCGTGACAGTCGAAGCACAGGGCATCTAAGGCGCCTAAAACAGAAACCAGACTCTTACAGCTGATGCATGAGTGAAAACCCGTGAGAGGGTCATTGATTGCCTTAGTGAGTTGGTGAAGGGTGAATAAGTGTACATAAGAGTCTTTCTACACTCTACAGGATCATCTGTTTAGAGCAGCGTGTTGTAAGTCCTTAATAATGCCAAGTACCAGGCCTGTCTGTAGCAGGAGAGGAGGGGAAGATATTTGACGGTTGGGGTCCTGTTGGAAGGGTAGGAAGAAGAGGAGAAGGTCTGAGGACATGCCAGAGCTGCACTTTTTTTATTTTTTTATTTTTTTTTATTGGCCACTCCCCTACATCCTTGTGTAAGGTGAAGCGCAGAAGTGTTTACAGCGCCCAACAGGGAAGCATGCTAAGTTCATGCTTGCCTTTATGTCTCATGAGTTAAGGGCGTAGAAGCTTGAATCTTCCCTCGGAGCCAGGGTCAGGAGGAGGTCAGGAGTGGTTAAGAGGGGTCAGGGCAAGGCACTAGTCATTCACACACACACACGCACGTGTCCTTTGTACATAGTGATGATGTTAATGTGTACGTAAATAGTGTGACTGTTATCTCTCTCTCTCTCTCTCTCTCTCTCTCTCTCTCTCTCTCTCTCTCTCTCTCTCTCTCTACTTATCTACAGACTACCTTAAAGAAAATGGAGGTGGGGTGATATTCTGTGACTCCCAAAGTGCTTTGAAATCAATGAACAGACCGCCAGGCTCTATGTCTAAAGTCGTTTGTGATATTAAAAGAAATGTGATAACTGCTAAGAAGAACAACTTTCGTATTAAATTTGTGTGGATTCCGTCCCATGTTGGTATCAGGTATCATGACCGTGCTGATAGACTGGCCAATGAGGCATGTAACAAAGAAAATGTTGACCTTGACCTTGGCCTGTCCAATGCTGTGCTTAAAACCATTTAAGTCAAAATCATGAACTCTGATCTAGAAGAGCTGAGAAATGCAGAGAGATCTGGCAGTTGTAGCCTTAGTAAATATGACAAATTTTGTGATAATAGGTACCGGTATGACCAGCATGAGGACAGAACCAGACAATGTGATGTAGTCGTGGCCAGAATTAGGCTAGGATACAGACACATCTGGCAAGTTACTAACGCTGTACCCATACCGGAACACTCAGCATGTAAACTTTGTGATAAACCTTTAAAGCATACACTTGAACACTATATTATTGAATGTGACACTGTCAAAGACTTCAGGCCACCTGGCTTATCGTATCATGAACTATGTAATTATTACATTGAATAAGGAGTGCTGTCTATCCTAAATTTGCTAGCCCACACTGATTATTCCTCAAATAGTATCTGACTTCTGATGTATATGAACCACTATCCTGCGTGGCAGTGAGAAGTGATAGCACCCTCAGTGTCAAGACCTGACTGAATTACTCAGAATAAGCAAACTGTACTCCAAGCTTTGTCCATAAATTTGTTAACCGTTAACTCTCTCCCTCACACACACTCACACAGTAAAATTCACAGTTACTTCTATTATTTATCCATTATTTCCCTCAACATTTCCCCTCCCTCACCTCCTCTAAATTCCTACACTATCCTTCGTCTTAACCACTAACCCCTTAATTTTTACTCTATCCCTCACCTACCACACGTCCCTTCGCCTCTCCCAACCTCTCTCACCTCTCGCACATCATGTAAGCTCTCTCACTATCCCCCACCTTCCTTCACCTGTCATACCTCTCGCCACTCACACCTACCTCTCACACCTCTCCTCAACCTCTCACACCTCTCCTCAACCTCTCACACCTCTCCATCCCATCTTCCTTCACCTCTCATGCCACACCACTTGCATCTTCCCTCCCTTCTCACGCCTCCCTCTCCACCCTTCTAACCTCAACTCTTATCATAGTCTTATTTGTCTCAACGAACAACTTGCTCTCCACTTTTCCTCCAATTTATAGCTTTATCGTTGTTGTCTTCACTTCCTTTCTTTTCTTATGCTTTTTTGTTATCATTGTCGTTTATTACTTTTTTCTTTCCTCATTAGCTGTTCTTCCCTTCCCCCTAATTATCTCCCCTTTTCCCCTTCTCCTCTAATGTCTCCCTCTTTCTCCCCTTCCTCTCCTCACCCCACTCCCTACCTTGTGCTATCCTAGATTAACCTAACCCAACCATTTTAATATAACAGGCATAATATTTACGATTCTAGAAATGTTTTATCTGGTTTTAAGTTAGATTTAGTTGGTTCATGTTGCTTGAAACATAATTGGTCTGACAGTTTCGTGTTCGTGGTATTTTTTATAACACTGACTCCTCACTTCTTCCCCCGTGTGTGTGTGAAGTTGTCAACAACAGTCTCCCGCCACCACAAAGTCATTTACTGTACTTTCATATTCAGAGGAAATTTTTATGATCACAGTTTCTCATCAGCGTGAATAATAAAGAAAATTTTCCCTCAACATTTTTGGAGAAATTTATTACTTCATCACATAATCTTTAATTTACCTCCCGAAGGCAAACCGGATTTCGTGTTATTTATAATACTCTGTTATAATATTTCCAGGTTATTAAGAAGCATAACTAATCATTTTCTCACCTGTAATAATAGGTGGAATTTATGACCCATTTATGTGAGGGAATTGGGTAATTTATCAAGAAAATATATACAGGTGTGTTTTATGTGGATGTCTTAATTATGGTAAACAAGAGAATACTATAAATGTTGTGTTTTAAGAATATTGTCGACGCTGTTAGGGGCGGCGTGGATATAGTACACTGTATACTCAGCAGTCGATGCACAAAGAGGCGCTATATACCCAACGGCCTTCTCTGCCTCAAAAGTAACAGATTTACAGATTGCCCCGGAGGGGGCTAGTTTATTGGGCACCCCCTTACATCCTGTGCAAGGTGAAGCACAGAAGCGTTTACAGTGCCCAACTGGGAAGCATGTTCAGTTCATGCTTGCCTTTATGACTCATGCATTAAGGGCGTGGAAGCCTGAAGGGTCATAGGTTTTGTCAGCAAGTTACATAAAGTGACGGAATGATGAGTGTGTGTGTGGGAAATTCGGTACATCAGGTATCCCATTTGCAGCTAGATGACCTGGAGATGCCCGGGGTGACAAACCAGTGACTCTTAGGACAGGAATGAGTAGTATATACAGTACACTCAGCCACCGCAACGCTTCTTATGGAGACTAAGATAATTTACAACTGTGGTTAATGTCTAGAAATATCTTACCTCAGGTCTCTCAGTTCTCTCTGGATTAGATTAACTGAAGATTATAACGATAATTACAACAAGATTATTATGTTTTAAGATGATTACTATTAACATGTTATATTTTAAGATGCTTATTATTAACATGTTATATTTTAAGGTAATTATTATTATTATTAACTTGTTATATTTTAAGATGCTTATTATTAACATGTTATATTTTAAGGTAATTATTATTATTATTAACATGTTATATTTTAAGATTATTAAGATTATTAAGAATAAAATTATTTCCTATTATTCCAGGTTTATGTAAATGTTAAGGACGAGATGATAGGATAATTACCCTTTAACGTGATACAAAGGTACTAATTTTCTAATAATACTTGACTAATTACCCCCTTCTTCACAAATTATTCACAGTTGCCTAATTATACCCTATGAAAATATTAACCTATTGGATTAATTTTATTCAATAAGTTATTCATGGTTTAATTATCCCCTGTGGTTATATCCCATGACTAATTACATATAATGGGTTAATTACCTCATGGGTTAATTAGACCAGTCGATTTAATTCGTCCTGGATTAATTATAATATGTAGTAATTAAACCACACGGTATCCTTACACAAAGGGGAATAAGTACATGTTATTACAAACTCACACCGTCCTAATTAATTAAATTACCTAGACAGATTATACCACAAGGATTAATTACACCACCTAAGAGAAATTTCCTCCCGTGTATGTTGTTGTATGCCAGGGATTAATTATACTGTATGGTTAAGTAATAATTCAAGAGTAGATAATTTAACATGGATTAATTCTCTCTCTCTCTTACTATACTAATCTTGTCAGTAAAGTAATTAATTAAACTTTCTCCTACAGCGCCGATTATTCATACATTATTGTTTAGTAAATTAATTCCCGTAGATTAATTGTATCTCTCTATCTCTTACAGCTCCCGCCTCTGACATGTCGATGACGTACTCCAAGCCGAGTGAGGAGCGGGTGATCGTGTCGTGCCGGGCAGGAGGAATCTTCCCCAAGCCTAACATAGACATCTTCAGAAGTACCTCCGCCTCCAGGTGAGAGAGTGTGAGGAAGAGGGTTGGGGGGGGGGTGGTGGGGTAGAAGAAGGAAGGGTGGAGGAAGAAGAAGGGGAGGATGGAGAGGTGGGGTAGAGAAAAGAAGAGGGAGAAGAAGGGAAGAAAGGAAAAGATGGATGGGGAAGGGGGGATAAGTGAGGACTAGGAAGAAGGGAAAGGAAAGGAGAGAAACTATGGGAATAGAAGAAGGGGAGGAAGAGAGAAGAGGAATTAGACTGAAAAAAAGGTGAGGGAGGGAGGGAGGAAAAGGTGGTTTCGACTCGGGTATAAGGTGGAAGGTGTGTAGAGATGAAGAGAAGTGATGAAGGGAGTAAGAGGATGAAAACAGATAATGAGTGGATGATACAGTAGTGATCGGAGAGAGAGAGAGAGAGAGAGAGAGAGAGAGAGAGAGAGAGAGAACTACAATAACATAGAGAACAGGAAAAGTAAACAAGACAAGTGATGATTGGCGGAAGAAATTTCAACAATAGAAAGGAAGAAAATTGGAGAAAAAAAATTGGTTTAGAAATATGGAAAATAAATGTGATGGGAGATATTAGAGGTAAGTCGACAGGAGGCAGCAGAAGCAGAAGAAGAAATGATGAATAAGTTGGTAAATAATGTGAAGGGAATAAAGAGATGCAAAAATGATGTCAAAGTATTTTTACTCTGTCACTTTGTTTAAACTTTATCAAAACAGATTAAAAAAAATAGGAGACAGAGTGACGGAATAAGAGAGAAATACTGAACAATTAATGAGAAATAGAATGAAGGGAAAGAGAGTTGGCGTGAAGGTGTGTTACTCCGGGAATGACCAGCAGGTATCGGCCAGGTATTTCACGGCCCTTAATCCACCATACTTAAGATGTGGTGCAGATAGAGACCACCACCCACCTTTTTGCTCCACCCCACCCCACTTCACCATGGCCACCACCACTGGCACCGGCACCAGCACCCGGCACCAGCACCAGCACCGGCACCAGCACCAGCACCAACACCACCTGCCACCACCACTGCCACTGCCACCGCCGCCACCACTTATACCGCCACCACCACCACCACCACCACCGCCACTACCACCACCGCCACCCGCCACCACCACCGCCACTACCACCATCACCATCGCCACCACCACCACCACCACCACCACCACCACCACCACCACAGCCGCCACCACCGCCACCGCCACACGCCATCCACCACCATGCCACCATCACCACCATCACCACCATTTCTTGAGGATTACTGACCGGTAATTGGCGGTGACATGGTGTGGAGTAGGGATGGGGGTGATAATGGGGAGGAGTGGGGGCCAACAATGCGAGGATTGATATGGGGGTGGGGTTTATGTCGAGGGTGGTGTGAGAACAGGGGCTGAAGTAAGTTGGTGTGACGGAGATTCTACTAGCGACTGGAAGGAGGGGCAAGAAGAATTAAACGACTTTGTAATTTGTGAATGGATTGCTGACTGATGATAGAATATAGTATATAGCATAGTGTATATACTGTACAGTGTTTTGTTAGATACATTTGTAATTATCCACGATATATGAGTTTGTGTTTATAAATATCTGTACGCCCAGTCAGTAGTACAACCATTTCATTGGTTTAGTTGTTGATATATACAAAAGATTACACACACACACACACACACACACACACACACACACACACACACACACACACACACACACACATATATGAGGGATTATGAGATCACGAATATAAAAACAATCCTTTGGACCCATTGCTTACTGATATCTTGATACAAAAAGAAATATCAATATTTACATAACATTAATATTAACAAAAGCTTGATGCAATATCATACCCAAACACACACACACATACAATGAGACATCACAATACACCGATATACAAAGTATTTTAAACACTTAAAAGTACAGAGAAACAAAGAATACACACGTGTAGCGACATCATGAGTATACTCGTGATAAATACTAGGAATATACACCTCGTGTTATACAGATCAACTAGCAATACACGTACACACAGCAAACCGAGAAATACTAAAGAGAGAATTTCACCGAAGAACAAATTGCTGTTAACACAAGTTATAATTGTTCCAGGGAGTCCAGTTGTTATGACTCGGTTATACACTTTTCCTCCTACTAGTTTTATGCATCAGCGAAAGTTAAATTGGCTCAAGTGTAGGGAGGCAGCGCCGGTGTGTGTACAGTAAACAAGGACCCGAATTCCATTATCAATGTTTGGTGTGTGCGTGGTGGGTAGGTGAGTGTGTAGGGTGGTGAGGAAGTGGTAGAGTGTGTGTGTGTGTGTGTGCGTGGTGGGTAGGTGAGTGTGTGGTAGAAGTGTGTGTGTGTGTGTGTGTGTGCGTGGTGGGTAGGTGAGTGTGTAGGGTGGTGAGGAAGTGGTAGAGTGTGTGTGTGTGTGTGTGCGTGGTGGGTAGGTGAGTGTGTAGGGTGGTGAGGAAGTGGTAGAGTGTGTGTGTGTGTGTGTGTGTGTGTGCGTGGTGAGTAGGTAGTGTGTAGGGTGGTGAGGAGGTGGTAGAGTGTGTGTGTGTGTGTGTGTGTGTGTGCGTGGTGGGTAGGTGAGGTGTGTAGGGTGGGTGAGGAAGTGGTGAGTGTGTGTGTGTGTGTGTGTGTGTGTGTGTGTGTGCGTAGTGGGTAGGTGAGTGTGTAGGGTGGTGAGGAGAGTGGTAGGGGTGTGTGTATGTGTGTGCGTGTGGTGGGTAGGTGAGTGTGTGGGGTGGTGAGGGAGGTGGTGGGGGAGTGTGTGTGTGTATGTGTGTGTGTGTGTGTGTGTGCGTGGTGGGTAGGTGAGTGTGTAGGGTGGTGAGGAAGTGGTAGAGTGTGTGTATGTTTGTAATAATAATAATGATAATAATAATTAGCGGTTTATTGAAAGGACATGGCAACCAAAAGGCTGTAAATATACAGTTACTTGATTGGGGAATGGGTCACTTGATTCATAAATAATATACAAGTAACATAAGTGATGCAAATATTAGTATGTGTGTGTGTGTGTGTGTGTGTGTGTGTGGGTGTGTGTGTGTGTGTGTGTGTGTGTGTGTTGGAGGGTGGGAGGTGATGGTGCGCGTTAGGGAGCGGCAACACTAGAGTACATTTTGCCCAGGCAAAATGTACTCTAGTGTGGCCGCACCCTTAGGGGATGGAGTTGAGAGAGTGTGTGCGTGTGTGGCCAAGATACTGTATTGTGTACGTGACAAAGAATGTAATTACAGGTATTTGTGAGCTAGGGTTAGTGTTCGTTGTTATGTACATTGTAAATGATTGTCAATATTGGCTAAAAGACCCGTTATTTATTATTTGTGTAATTAAAGAACAGTATTTATGTGGTTGGTTATTGTTTTAGTATTGTATTGTAAAGTTCAGAGTTATTTACAAGATAATTTTTGGAAGATTTCGTTAATTTTTGTTGTTTGTTGTTAGTTTACCATAAGTAGCAAGAAAGAATAATAAGCAAGCGGGGAGGAGTTGGTGTGCTCTGGCCAACTTAGCCCTCGATTAATAACTTGTAGCCAAATGTTCAAAAGGTTGTTGGGAAAATGCAATAAAATCCTAAACTAACTTCATGAAAAAATACCTGTCGGGAAAAAAAAAAATTCGATAATTTGAGTGAGAAATGATTCTTAATTCTTTTAGAGAGATTCCGAATGAGATGGTTAAGATTTTTGTGTATAATTGTGCAAATATTCAATAATTTATGTGTCAGGTAGTAGTAGTAGTTTCCCGGTGTGACATAGATTACTTATAATGACGCTGACACGAGAGGCATTAAACAAAAAATAATAATAATTGTGAAAAGAGGAGGAAACAAACGGTGAGCAATACATACAAGTTACAGAAACTACAGAAGGCTGGCTGGTGTTAACCTAATGCAGATGTGGTGCGCGTGGACGGCGCCAGATGGGTGGTGGCTAGGATGGTGCAGCAGCTCTGCTCCCCCACACTGGTAGCTGGAGACATAATGAAGACCAGAGGGAGTGGAGAGAGCCAGTATACCGAGTGCCTCTTGAAATGTGATTTATAGCAGCACTTTGACACTGTCATCTGGACGACCCTCCAAGTCCACATTTCACACAAGGTCATGAAATACTGGCCACGACCATTGTTTATCACTGGATACTGTCCCACTCTAGTCTCCATTCTTTTTCGAATTGAAGTTATCACTTTCTCATCAGTTGTGGATTGAAAATTATCAAGGAATGATTATAATCGATCCTTGCACTGGTTTCTTGGCGGATAGGGTTGAGAGGAAGGAGGTGAAAAAGGAGTGGACATGTAAGCCCCAGGCAGCTGCAGTAGTGAGCACCAGGTGACGCCCATACTCCATGGTAGTGGGCGGTGAGGTGTGTGCCTGTGTGTGTATCAGGTGGGGGGGAGCCGTAGCTTTGTGTGTTCTTTATGAGTCTTCTATCTATGGTTGGCCTGAAAATATTTAGAGTGAAAGGTTTAACAGAGAATTTTATCTCATTTTTAATTGTTAATATACTAATGTAATTAATAACCTAACTACGTGTTTAAAAGACCCAAGTTGTTGAAATACAGTAAAAACAGTATAACTTAACGAAAGGTGGTGGTTCTGTGAGAGGGAGTGACAGGTGATGCTGTGTGAGAGGGGGGTGACAGTGATGCCTTGTGAGGGGGAGTGAAAGTGATGCTGTGTGAGGGGGAGTGACAGTGATGCTGTGTGAGAGGGGTGACAGGTGATGCCTTATGAGGGGGAGTGAGAGTGACGCTGTGTGAGGGGGTGACAGGTGATGCTGCAATGTGAGGGAGTGACAGTGATGCTCTGTGAGGGGAGTGACAGGTGATGATGCTCTGTAGGGGGTGTGACAGTGATGCTGTGTGTGAGGGAGTGACAGTGATGCTGTGTGAGGGGGTAGTGATGCTCTGTGAGGGGAGTGACAGGTGATGCTCTGTAAGGGGAGTGACAGTGATGCTCTGTGAAGGGGTGACAGTGATGCTGTGTGAGGGGAGTGACAGGTGATGCTCTGTAAGGGGAGTGACAGTGATGCTGTATGGGGGGTGACAGTGATGCTGTGAGGGTGAGTGACAGGTGATGCTGTGTGAGGTGACAGTGATGCTCTGTGAGGGGGTGACGAATGATGCTGTGGCGGGGGTGGCAGTGCTGTGAGGGGGTGACAGTGATGCTGTGTGAGGGTGAGTGGCAGGGTGTTGCTGTGTGAGGGGGTGGCTGGTGATACTGTGTGAGGGGGTGACTGGTGATGCTGTGTGAGAGGTGACGTGTGCTCTGTGAGGTGAGTGACAGGTGTTGTTGCAGTGGGGAGTGACAGGTGATGCTGTGTGAGGAAGTGACAGGTGATGCTTTGTGAGAGTGAGTGACAGGTGATGCTGTGTGAGGGGAGTGACAGGTGTTGCAGTGTGAGGGGGGAGTGACAGGTGATGCTGTGAGGGAGTGACAGGGTGATGCTTTCTGTGAGAGTGGTGACAGGTGTTGCAGTGTGAGGGGAGTGACAGGTGATGCTGTGAGGGAAGTGACAGGTGATGCTGTATGAGGGGAGTGACAGGTGATGCTGTGTGAGGGGAAGTGACAGGTGATGCTGTATGAGGGGGAGTGACAGGTGATGCTGTATGAGAGAGAGTGACAGGTGATGCTCTGTGAGGGGGAGTTTTGACAGGTGTTGCAGTGTGAGGGAGAGTGACAGGTGATGCTCTATGAGGGACTGTCAAGTGAGGGAGTGACTGACAGGTTATGACTGGCATTACCGTCAACACTGTCCCACTCAATGATTAAATTCTTGTCGCGTCGGTCAAAATTGATTTACTCCCATCATTTAAAGCTCCGTAATTTAGCCAATGAATTTTGTATAACATATCAATATGTAGTAATTACTTTATATTGTCCAGCTTAAAATTTGTTATGTATTTTATTACGACATTCAGAGGGTTAATTATTACGGGTTATATTAAGAGACTGTAACATAACGCTATTTAATATTATAAATGAAATACTCATAGACGTATTTATTTCACTAATATCCCTCTGATCACGATGAATTAACCCCTACAGTACAGTACCGTTGTATCTCAAGGTCATCGTATTCAAAGGCTTAAAACATCGTAGTTATGGGGTTAAATCACCGTACACAATGGGTTAATGTACCTTTATCAATTGGTTAATTAACTGTGATGAGAAACTTAGCATCGTCCTCAAGGGGTTAAAAAAAGATCGACTTCGTGGACTTTCATACTTTGTAAAAAAAGAAAAAAATTAGAAAAATGAACAAAAAAATTTTAAAATGTGATATAAAATATGCTTGTGTCAACTCCCACCCTGTGTTACAGACTTAGGGAACTCAGAGACTAAAGTGCTCAAAGGATTACACCTCCAAGTGATGTGTTTGTACCTGTTTACTGTGTACAATGTTTATGTCGCCCAGTGATTATTATTATTATTATTATTATTATTATTATTATTATTATTATTATTATTATTATTATTATTATTATTATTATTATTATTATTTTACTAAAGGCTAACCCGTACAAATAAACGTGTCAGATTGTATAATGAGTAAAAAATGTGAAAGTATGGAGCAATAAAAGACACACACACACACACACACACACACACACACACACACACACACACACACACACAAAACTGTGAAGTGTACGTCCTCGGCAACAAGACTTGACAGTTTACCCAAACGTATCTCAGAATTTGTCTACATCTCCAGTGACTTAAGTGATGCTTTCAAACACGTATATCTACATGAGGAAACTTATTAATTAGATAGAAATAATTTGTTGATATGACCGTATGTAAATCTGTTTTTTTGGCTAATATGACTTTGTATAAATATGAATTATTTTGTGTATAATTTTCATCGACTTTATTTACAAGTCTTTGCTATTTTTTTTACGCTTCACTTTTTCTTTGTTTTTCATATTCTTTTATAATTTTTTTTTTTTTTATAATTTTCAAATTTCTCTCGTGTTGTTTCATATCTTCTCTTTCTCCTCTTTATACCTCATTCGTAACTGCCCTCTTTATTGTATCGCTTTCTTCCTTTTAATTTTGCTCCTTGTTTCTTCATCCTACTGTATTTTTTTTACTTCTTTGTCTTCCTTCTGTTTCCTTCTTTCTTCTGTTTCATCTCCCGTTTGTCTTCTTTTACTCCTGTTTTCTTCTTTCTGTTTGTTTTGTCTTCCTTATTTTTATCCTTCTCTTTGTTCTGTTTTTCCCCTTATCCTATTTACCCATGTGTAGACGACTCTGCCTGTACACTCTGTAACCTCATCTCGTCTGTTTCAAAAGTCAAAAATCGACCCAAAACAAAAGAGAGAAAGAGTTTTAGCTTGTAAAATTGTATCCGTTTTGTTTTTTGTTTCAATAAAATGCATTCCTTGGCTGCTGCCTATATTGAGCTGAATACTTCAACACTGGCACCTTTGATATCTTTTTAATTGCTCGAGCAACTTTTATTTTGACTGATATTTTCCATTATTTTTTTATTTATTTATTTTTTCTGTTTACATTCATCATTTTAAAATGTCTATCTTTGGTTCAGGTTTATTTTCCCTTTTGTTTATTCTTTCGTATTTAAATTTTCTTTATCTTTGTTTTTTTGTTTTATTATTTTATAGTTTTTTCTTTCATGGTTATCTTATTTTTGTTTTCCTTGTCTTTCTCTTTTTATTCATGCCTTGTCCTCACGTCTCAGGGATGGTATTTTTAGTTCTTCTTCCATATACTAGAAATCCTCACCTTGCACCTCACATGTCACCATCTAGTTTCTCCTCATTCCTCACCTTGCACCTCACTTGTCACCATCTAGTTTCTCCTCACTCCTCACCTTGCACCTCACTTGTCACCATCTAGTTTCTCCTCATTCTTCTTTCGCTATCCCACCACTTCCTAATCCCCCCTCACCTTCCACTTATCCTCTTCGTTTAATTCAGCCAAACTGACTTTTCCCATTCACCTCACCGTTTGGTCTCCTCATTCTCTCCCCCTCCTCACCTCTCAACTTCCATATCACTCTCTCTCCTTACCTCTCATTTCTCATATCTCTCCCTCTCCTCAACTCTCACCTCCTATGTCTCTCTCTTTCTCACTCACTCACTCACTCACTCACTCTCTCTCTCTCTCTCTCTGTGCCACTCACCTCGCCCTCTTACACCTGTCAACTCTTAAAAGACTAATCATTAACCTGTACTCCGGCAGCAGGGACGTGTTCGAGGGAGCTAAGGTGGAGAGCCAGCACCTCCCGGAACACGGCTACTACAACATCAGCATCGAGTTGGAGGTGTTCGACTATGAACTCGACTCAGAGACAATGTTCGAGTGCGTCCTCACCATCCCCGGGACCGAGTATCAGCTTCATGAAGAAATCCTCTACTTCCCTGGTAAGTTATAGTAACTGATTCTTCTCCCTGGTTCATAAGGTTCGATCGTCTTCTGTTTAAGAGTATAGATGACGGGGCTGTATATAGGTACTGAGTCTCGCTTTATCGTGTTTTTTTTTTTAATCGTAGTAAAATGGTGGTTGGAATGCTTTACTTATCTGGTTGCTTTATCTTCATGGTTAATGGATATATAAATCTCTAATGCGTTATGGTTGTTTATTATATATACACGAATCACAATAAACATGGCATTTTTTTCCTGTCTGGCAGTATAATAGAATCACCAATACCAACAACATCAAGTCTTCATCCTTGTAGTTCTATAAACATGTACAGAATATTCCCTGAGCTTCCTCCTTTATCCTCAAAATATTACCAACAACAATCATTAGTATTTTTGTATAATGGAAATTATTACCTCTATTCTTCTTTAAAGAATCTCTAAATATAAAAAAAAAACTCAGGTATATACAGGTAAGGTTTTAATATGGTCATTACCTCATCAACTTCGGTCACAGGTGAAGCAGAAATTCCCTCAGTGTGTTGTGAACGTCCAGGCAGATAAATGTTGTTGTATATATATCTTCACTGTTCTCGCTGGATATGAATAATTTATATATTGTAATGGAGAGGAAATCGGATCGTAGTAAATATGCAGTAATGTATATGTATGTATGTATGTATGTGTGCGTGCGTGTGTGCGCGTATGTATGTATGTATGTACGTATACTTTTGGTGAAAGTTAAAAATCATAGGATATTTACTCTCTGGTGTTTAAGAAATTTGAGGTGGGGAAGGGGGGGAGTTGACCTCTGAAATTAAACAACAAAGCACTCGTTGTTTTTATCACACCATAACATAGAGAAAGAGACAGACATGTGTAGCCAGATAGACATAGAGACAGAGGGAGAGACAAAAAGAGACACAGACGGAGCAGAGACAAGAAACGGAGAGGGAGAGAGAGAGAGAGAGAGAGAGAGAGAGAGAGAGGCAAGCATGCAAAAAAATACAGACAGAAAGACATGCACGCACACACAAAGAGAGACAGATAAAAAGAGACAGAAGAGACAGAGAAGGACAGAGAGATAATTTCATCGGTTACTGAATTAATTACTTGTTAATATCACATCGTCCAGTAATATAACCCAAACAATAAATCGTGTCCGTAGAATTTGTGTCATCCGCTTGGAAATAAACCAGATGTGTGGTAGCTGAGCACTAGCGTGTGTTAACTGAGGGTTGGCATTGGTCGAATGGGTTTACATTGATTGGATTGGTTTATAGATAGGGTGAGTTTACATTGGTTGGATGAGTTTACATTGGTTAGAATGGTTTACACTGAGAGAACGATTTAAAAACTGATGGACGGACTTGTTCTGATGAATGGGGCTTATGAGTTTACACCGGAAGTTGGTTTACACTGAGAGTCACACGACCATGAGTTAGGGCGGGCGTGGTTCTATGGCTTCCTGGTACTACGGGACTCACTCAAAGCCGGAACTACGCCAACCACGATATCGACGTCTCTACGTATTCCATATATCTCTGCTCACCTAACTCGTATAATGTCCTCTGTTCCACGCTTATTCTTATGAGAGATCTAGGCCATTTCGTCACCTAACCTAACCTAACCTAACCTAACCAAACCAAACCTAACCGAACCTTACCTAACCTAACTTGACTTAACCTAACTTAATGTAACCTATTTAACGTAACCTATCATAACCTACCTTAACCTAACCTAGCCATAGTCTATTTTAATCTAACTTAACCTAACCTAATCCAATCTAACTTTAGCTTCATCACGTCCAAAATAAAGACATTAAGATCTAAATTGAATAAATATAGCACAGTATTCAATAGACCAGTGATGAATTCTCCGCCCATCACCTATGAGATGTTAAAACAATGGGTAATTCTCACGGTGTCACCTCATTTACCATTACTTCGTTGTCATTGTCCCTGTTTTCCCATTTCCTGGTTACTGTTTTGCAATTCCAGAACGACAATTTTGCAAGTTACTTTGTCGATATTTTGGTTTTCTGGACGTGTTGGCAAATTGTGGCTTTAGTTTGCAATTGATAGCTATACCAATCTGCAAGTTAAATTTTCTGGGTCTTTTTAGCAATTTCGTAATGTTCGTGGTCTTAATTTCCACCTTCCTCGGATTTTTTTAATTCCTATTTCCCGACGTGCGATTTCCAGGATTCGGTTAACAGCTTCTCCCCCTCAGAACTTCCAGCAACTGATCTCTCAGGCTGTCAGTTGCCCAATTTACGGTAAAAGCAACAAGTTGAGGATTTACAACTGGGTGGTAAGAGAGAAGATTTACTAGTTGTGGGGTAAAATTTAGTCTCGTGAACTTAGGTGTTGGAAGGGTCCTGTGTTGGAGTCACGTGTTAGAAGGGTCAGCTTGTTGGAAGGTCAGCTGGTGTTGGGGGTCAGCTTGGTGTTGGTCAGCTTGGTGTTAGAAGGTCAGCTTGGTGTTAGAAGGGTCAGCTTGGTGTTGGAAGGGTCAGCTTGGTGTTGGAAGGGTCAGCTTGGTGTTAGAAGGTCAGCTTGGTGTTAGAAGGGTCAGCTTGGTGTTAGAAGAATCAGCCTGGTGTTGGAATGGTCAGTTTTGTGTTGGAAGAATCATCTTAGTGTTGGAAAAGTCAATTGGATTTTGGAAGAGTCAGAAGGTCGGATAATGTTTGTCTCGTTTACAGAACACCGATTATTGAGTAACAGCATTTGAAGATTTTTTTTACAGCTAATGACTTTAAAACAGAGTTTCGTCCACAAAAGCCATCCAAATACAATAAATCTAAACAAAGGAATGTAACTACGTGAAATTGTCAGCGAGATACACGCGGTCGTATATCACAAAGCTCGATTGGTATATAAGTTATGATGTTTAGTTTATTAACAAGTGTAATACGAATAAATACCAGATACACGTAACATTATCCAGGTTTTTTTTTCGCTGTAAGGTTTATATGGGTTTAACTGTATAGGATTTGGAGAGTTACAGTTTTTATCTCAAACTGATTTCCATTGGAGGGTTTTAATGGAGTTTAACTGATTATACGACTAAAAAGTAACATATAAAATTTTTAATACTTGTTGAATTCATTATCCCTTGCAACTTATCATGCACTAAAAAGAAAAATCATACAACATGTAAAATTATCATCGTAAAGAACAAAAAGAACAACTAAAATTAGGTAGAGAGACTTAACAACGTAGGAGGAATGAATAAGGATCATATGTCAATTAAGGATGATTGAGGACTGAAGCCAACACGAGGCTGTCATCAGGGCTTTACTGTACACTGTTACACGGGGTGGCAGTGTGAGGGTAATACTCGAGTGTGTTGTTACACCTACACCTTCGAGGGCGACCTGTGATCATCGTGGGTCATCTTTGATCATCGTGGGTAAATATATTGATCATCGTGGGTAAATACTTTGATCATCGTGGGTAAATACTTTGATCATCGTGGGTAAATACTTTGATCATCGTGGGTAAATTTATTGATCATCGTGGGTAAATACTTTGATCATCGTGGGTAAATATACTTTGATCATTGTGGGTAAAGACTTTGATCATCGTGGGTAAATACTTTGATCATCATGGGTTAATACTTTGATAATAGGTAAATACTTTGATCATAAAAGAATTATTATAATTTTAAATAACAAAAATGATGATTATGTTCATGAATATTATGAGGCAGAATAAGTAAAGAAAAACATGAGAGCTTAAAAAATATATTAAGTATTAGTGAAAAATAATGCCATTATATCTGACTTATAAGGTATGTCATTGTATTTTATGAATGTCGCTGTACAGATGATTTAATTAATGACTAATAACTCGTTGATGATACAATTTCACCCATTTCATATGATTATGAATTCTGAAAGACGCTTTAGCGCTCAAGTGGTGTCCTTGGATACACCGAGTTGTTAATTATTTTACTATTATGTTACAATATACGGTCAATAGTTTTCGTGTTTCCCATGATTTATTGTCATTTAAGGAACCTGGAGTACTGACCGTCATTGTAGCTCCGTGGACTGAGTCATGGTGCTGGACCGTTAACACAGGTCTTCGGCCCAACCGTTAACTTGTCCCATCTTCTGAACCCCACTAATGGTCGCGTCATTTGTTGTGTTCCTTGCTTTCATTCCTCACAAACTTTTCTTTCTCCACATGGAAAATTTCTTCTCTTATTATAACTGCGAAATTATATTCTACATACAGTATATGGTTAGGGTAGGATAGGTACGGATAGGTTAGGTAAGGTTAAGTTAGGTTGGGTTAGGTCACGTAATGTTGAAATAGTTAAGGTTAGGTTAGGTTAGGTTAGGTTAGGTTGAAATAGTTAAGGTCAGATTAGGTAAGATATTTTACGTGAGAAACAGTTTCTTATGTATAAAGTGACTACTAGTGTGACCAAAATCTCACTCATTAGTATATAACTTATCCTTATAATGAGTATGACTTATCATTGTAATGAGGTCTATAATAATCTCGTATTGCTTACTGTATACCCTAACGTACACTCACGCTGCCCATAATTTACACTCGTAATGTATAACTTGTCTTGTCAACTGTGTAAATTTTCCTCCTGATATACACAACTTGTCCTCGTAAGGCTTGTACTTTGTCTTGCCAAATCATGTAACTTCTTGCAATACGTGGAACTTAGCTCTGAAATATATGCAACTTACGTTTTTTTCCTGTAACTTAAGGTCAAAATACATACAACTTGTCTTCGTAATACGTGCAACTTGTCCTGTCGTGTTTTTTAAGAGAATGTTTTCACCTTCAAGTCTATACTTTATAAAAATATATTGTCTCTCTGGTGATCTCATGACCATCACTCTGCTCCTACATCCTGTTTCTAGATCAATTATACGTCCACGACTTCACCTGTTTGATAATATAAGTAATTCGCAGAAACCTTAAGAAAAATGTGTAATTCTCACAGCTTGTGACTGGCAACTCCAGGC